CCCCACAACCCAAACGGTTGTTTTCTGTGCCTGTTTAGTCTTTGAAATCCGAACCAATAACAGAGATGATTTTATTGGGCAGACGGATGCCCTTAACAAACCAGACTGGAATCATCATTCCCTTTGACGTAAATTTATGGAGCAGTTGTCAGATGTAATGACTTCCAGTCATCACCACGTCGAATTTGAGGCTGTGAATTGTGTAATAATAGACTCAGTGTTACATTACCAGTTTCCTGAGCCATGGAGTGTCCTGCATCCATCTTGGAAAGAAGAGATCTCAATAATCCTAACAAAATGTTAGAAAATTAGGATTCTCCTTTCAGTGTCCATTTAATGGGTACAGACTGAACGATCAATTAAGATTCCTGCAGTCATGTTTGACTTTTAAAGAGAAACTTTCAACATAAATCCTCCTTCTTTAGTTATTTTTGTGATTATCACAGTTAAAATATCCCTTTAAAACCAAAACCAACAAAATCCCAAAGGTTTAGAGCATTGATTTTCATCTCTGCAAAGTGAGTAGAATCAAGGCAAGACGTGGCAGAAACAGTTCTTCAAAAAAAAAAAGGCTTTTATGAATTCCTTAGGCTTAAAGCTGTAATGCCAGAAAGAAAATGGATACAGATATTTGCATCATGTGCTGAATTTTCTCAAAAATTATTCAAATAAATAGATTGTTATTTCTTGAAGGAAAAAAATGAAAAGGAATATATTTAACTCTAACTTCATCTTATAGAGCAAGTTAGTGCATGTACAGCCAATGATTTTATGCAGTATTGACCTATAATACTATAGTATTGGCATAAACAAGAAATTTTTATTAATATAATGTCTTCTAAATTAACTTATTTTGCAACTGCACATTGATGTTCATGTCTTGTGGTACGCCCTAAAGAGTGATGCTAAGGGACAAATCACCATAAATACCCATCACTGCAAAATTATCACCTATTAGCTCCCTGTCTGGTTTTGCTTCAGAGCCTGGAAAAAGCTACATGTGTTAACCCCAAGTGGACAATGCCAATGCACAAACTTGTATAAAACCACCCTGCCAAGTGCACATTGCTATTAATCAGCAGGGCAGCTTCATCCTTCAGGGAGCCAAGGAGTTGGCCAACCAGAGCAAGAGCAGGACGTAATGCTTGGTCTGCATGACCACACAGAATACAGAAATAAGGGTGATAGTAAAGTAATCAAGGGACCAAACCACAAATCACTCCTTGGCACAGCAGGAGGTGAGTCTATACGAGCATATTTTGGCTCCTGAAGATGTGCTTCTCTGCCAGAACATTCTCCATACATGTACATTTCAATTACACACACTGCTATCACACGAGTTAAAAGAGGAAGAAATTCGGTGACTACACCAAACATAGGTGCTCTCCCATACAGTAAGGCACGGGAAATCATACCAAAATCACAAGGAGTATGTCACGGCATGAAACAAAATTATCACCATAATTATAAATACATCCTAAATTCTTTGAAATTACTGAAGTCTTTCCTCTTTCCTTAGGATGACCACAGTTTTACTAACGCCTGAAACAGATCTTAAAACTCTGATTTTCTTACTCCCATCTATGACAAGAAAACCTGTATCAGTGACATGAACAGCATACAGGAGGTTAGCATTAAGCTATTCAGAAGATAACTATGCCTGAAAGTCAAATGTAAGAAACTATCTATATCTGATCAAAGTCAGCATCACTACACATTGGTTAACTACTACACAGAACAAGAATTGCTCCAATGTATCTTTAGAGATAACTGTGACCCTTACAAGAAAGTATTTGAAAACATTTGAAAACATTTGCTAATATTCCAGGACAGAAGATTTGAGAAATTTCAATGACAGGAGTCACTAGTAAACTTGTGCAGTTTTCAGCCAGTAAATGGGTTACTGATGCTTCCTACCCAAGTCCTTCCAAAGGTCCAGATTCTATTTTATCTGCAGGACATAAATTAGGGTAAGCTTCATTCTCAGTTTTGCTGCAAATAAAGCTAAGCTATGTGTGTGGCTTGCTGCTTTGCTACAATTTGTCCTTCAAAGATTGAAAGTGTAGAGTGTCAAAAGACACTCTCCAATGTTTTTTTGGAGGACAGTAACTGTGCTACTTCCTGGCCTCCATTCACACAAACAGAAAAGTCTAAATGACACCTCCCCTATGTCTGTATCAAGCAATTATATCTTTTTTTTTTATTTTTAGTTGGTAAATGATAGACTTGACCATCTAACAGGCCTTTTCTAACATTATAAACTCAGATCCTAGAATTCTGTGATCACCAGTCTCGTCCTCACGGTATTATTAAATATGTCAGGTTGGAAAGACTTTGTGAGTCATCTGTATCCAACTCCCATCCCAATGTAGGGATAATTCAAATGTAACTTTTTCTGGAAACGGAGAATCCAAAACTCTCTGGGCAACGAGGTCCAGTGTTAAACCATTCTCACAGTGAGGAATTTTTTATCTGAGATCTAATTACAATTTTCCTTCCCTCAGCCTCTGTTCATTGCCTCTTGCCCTTTTGCTGTGAAACTCTGACAGAAGCCTAGCTCCATCTTCTCTATAAATCCTTTTTAAGAAGTTGAAAGTGACATTTAGATCTTTCCCCTAGCCTTATGTTCTTCAGTCTGCCACTACTGAGCTCCATGACATTTCTGTCAACCCGTTTCTTGAGGTTATTGGAGTATCTCTGAATGACAGTCCTTCCCTCCAACTTATTCATTGGCCCCTGCATTGGTGTCATCTGCAATCTTGATGAGGATTTATCATCGTTCCCACCACTCCACTCATTAATAGAGACATTAATCAGCATTTGTCTCCGTATCATCTGCTGAGGAATGCCACTAATAATCACATGCCAGTAGGACTCCACACCACTGATCATAATCTTTTGGCAGCACAGCAAGTTTTCCATCTGTCCAGCCTATTTTTACCACTTTGGCTGCAGAAATACTACTATGGGAGACCGTGGCCAAGGCTCTGTTGCCATCAGAATAAACAATATCCTCTGCTCTCCTCTCGTCCACCAAGCCAGTCATCTCATCCCTGAAGACAACCAGAGGTTGGTCAGACACAATTTTCCCAAACTGAATGCAAAGTATCCACTACAACCACCATGTTGGGGGATTTTTTTTTTGTGTCCCTATAAACAACAACTCAATAGAATTTGCTCCATAACCTTATTCAGGACCAAATCTGGACTGAGTGGCCTATAGTTCTCAGAATCCTTCCCCTTGCTTTAATGAATGTAGGTTGGTTTGCCATTTTCTAGTAATTTGGGACATCATCAAATGGCTACAGCCTCTCAGAGATAACAGAAAGCAGCCTTGCAATACATTCAGACTGTTCCCTCAGCATCCTTGAACATATCCAGTGCCACAGGCTTATGCTTCTCCTGTTTGCTTAAGCTATCCCTTCCCTGGTCTTCCTCTACCATCAGTCACCTGCATTCCCAGAGACTCACACTGGACACAGGATATGTCAGAGACAGGAAACCAATCTTGCCACAGTAAAGACTGAGCCAAAGAAGGCACAGAGTCTTTGTATATCCTTTGTCACTACGTTGCCTCTCCCAGCTCACTTGTTCCTTCTTTATCTTCTAATAAATTGAAGAAAAACCAATTATGTCCTTTGCTAATATATTTAACCAAATAATATATAAACATTTTTATTGTATTTACACACTGGCCGGGAATGAAACTGAATTGCTGCAGTAAACAAGTTCATTGTGCAATTTTCACTGACATAGTATTTCAACATATGTAATTAATCCTTTTTTTGGTATCCCTCCTTTGCTGTCTGCAGCCTTACCAGGTAACCCCTGGCCTCTTCTAATTTAGGAAATATAACCACCTTTGATACACTATGACTTTCAAATGTTTAGTTTCGCTGCACAGATATTTTACCCTATACATTTACTGTTCAAGCTTCGGCAGAAACAAAAATAAATTGCCCCGAGATTACTTAAACAGAAAGTTCTTAAGCTAAAGAGATCTATCCAGACAGCAAATCAACCACTGGTAAAATAGCAATTTTCTTATTCAGGCAGGTCAGTAGTTTTGTGTTTAGTGTGAGGCTGGGAATAACAGCTTCATACCAGGCTTTGACCTTAGGTCTCTTTGCCAAGTTTTCTTCAAAGATCTATAAGGTGAGTTGCTATGGTCAGAAAGATGTACTTATAAGTCACTCCAGACACAGTTATACCGAGTGAAAACAAAAATCCCCTTTTTTTAAAGAATATTAATGTTTCAAAATCAAACTTTAAAAACAAACAAACAAACAAACAAACAAACCAAACAAAAAAACCCCAGGAAAACACCATTTGCAACTGCCTCGGGAACTTTTAATGGACACTTTAAATCGGCATGCTATGACTGTGCTTACAGGCTGGCTTTAGCACTCCGATTTTCCTTTTCCCTACAATACTAGTGCCATTCAGGGTGCACAATAGTACTTTGGAGTACCTTACTCTTCATAACAAGTAGTCAACTTTCTTTATTTCTCCTCAGGATAAGTCCTTTTGTTCAGGCTTTATTTACTCTGCACTCTATAAATCTGCTCTGATTAGCATCACACAAGGACTCTGTGAGGGAGGAAGAAAGAAAAGTGCATTCTCCCTGGCACCTTTCAATCACTTCAGAATGCAAGTCCTGCAAACACAAACCTTTTCACAATGCATCTTCCAAACTATCCACCTAAACAACACTGGAATACATAATCCTCTCTATGCACAACCTTCCCTTCAAAAACTAGCTTATTTCCAGAACAAAAAATTCCACATTTTAATCTCTGAAATAGGGAGGGTGAGTGGTAGGAGACAAACAAGAACACAATCATTTGTGCAACAAGGAAAAGGAAAAAGGCAAAATAAAATGTCAAGTGGCTCCTGAGCAGTTATTTTGTTCACCTCAACCCAAGTATCTTATCTTGCCATATCCATTTACCCCCTGTGGTACAAGCCAAAATCAATTCCCCATACCTCTGTCTCCTCACCTGATGTTGGTGTCCCCACAATTTCTTTTTCCTTTTGGTAGCATCAGACTTCCTGCCTGTAGGTCTGTAGTCTCCCTCACACCCTCAAGTTTTTGCCATTCTCTTTGGTCAGCTTCCCAAAATCTTGGTCCTCTGTGCTTCAACTGTTATCCTCCCAGCAGTCAGACCAGTTAGCACCTCTCTTTGGAGCTGTGGGGGCTGTAAAAAGTTAAGGGAGGTATTTAGTGCACAGGAAGGACAATTTTCCTTCTTTGACAGATTTCCAACTAGAGCAGGACATCAAAGCAACAGCCCAGAACTAGAATTGTGAGAAAAATGACAAAAAAAAAAAAAAAAAGATACCTCTTTTCACCTCAACTCTCCACCTAACTATGGCTTCAAAGTCCAGAAAGAGAGCTGCAAAGCCTCACCGATTTTGCCAAATTTTGTTCATTGCAGCCATTTTGCAGACAGTTTTCCAGCCATTTCAAAGTCAACCTGAATTTCCATGGAGTCAACAAAGACTGCACATCAGGTATAAGCCATCAAATTCTCCCTTCCAGCAAAGGTGGATCTCATGTTTCAAAGCATGGTGGTTATTCACTCCCACGACTTCGAAAGACAGGAAAAAGAACATTTCCTCCAACCTCATGGTCAAAAAGGCTGAAATCTTCACCTTTCCTTGTTTCCAAAATCCTGAGCCTGAAGATGACATGCTAAAAGGTTACATTTGTATTGCATGAGGAGAGAGGAGTGAATGAAGTGCTACAGCTCCTGTCTTAGTCTCACCAGGCATGTGGCACATACCACATAACATTTTGGTGTCATCATTTCATGCTCATTCAGCTCCAGCCAGGATGGAAAACTCCAACTGGATAGAAAATTTCAAGCTGAATGCACAGAAGTAGAAAATAAGATTATAGAAAGGCTGATAGAGAAAAAAACCCCCACGTAATTCTTCAAGAGGATGACAGTCAAGAATGACCACATCACCCATTTGTCCAGTTCTCCAATCTGCAGACCTAATGTTCCTTGCAGTGGAGGATTGCCTATTTTAAGCCAAAGGATTGTATATGTAAAAATCCACAAAGGTCTGCATGTCGCTTACTGTTCAGACAGTTCATTTATTTTCATGTGTCCTACTCTGGGCAGCAGGATCAAAATCTGATCCCACTGAAGTGGGAGTTTTGCCATTGACACGAACAGATAAGAGAACTTGCCTAGCTCTAGGTAAAAATTAGAAGGTATAGCTCTATCTTGAATATGTAATTGCCAGGAAAGGAATTGACCCTTTGTCTGTGCTTAGATATTGTGTAACACATTTTGAGTGCCAGTTTGGTAGAAAGAGTGGTAAGTACCAGAAGAAATAAAATATTAATTCTAAAACATACATCCTTTATTTCTTGAACTACTCATAACTATATATGTAACATATCATACAGCTTATCTGTATACATGTAAATTACTTTAAATGTAGCATGTATCTACACATATATGCACTTAGGTCATACATGCTACGTGTATACAGTTACAGTCTACAAGGAAAACAAAGCATTTTCTTATATATTAAGGTTTTGTCAATTCTGGTCATTATTTTCACACTCCTTCCTGACCTTTAGATACAAGGTAGTTCCTAAGCAATCTGGATTTCTGTCTCCTTCTTCCAGACTTCAGGGGGAGGGGGAAATAATTTTTGTTTCTTCAGCTCAAACCTCCTGTGTGAAGAGGTTGGGCTAAACGTTTATAACACAAGTTCTTAGCTTGTCTAATTGTTGGGGGAGATGGAATCACTCAGTGTGAAATGTAGTTGAAAAGTATTGCATTCCCAGGACAAGAAAGTGAAGATGTCTCTGTGCTGTCCGGGAGGGAACCAGCAAATGAAATTTCCCTGTGGCCAGAATTACAGATTGCAACGAAAGTTAAAATTTGAGCCACGTATTTTTCAAGTATAACGTGACATTTAAGCAAAGAGCTGCACTGAGAAGGTCTGAATATCCTACAAGAACAGACACCAACTTTCATGGTACAACGGATGGAAACAAGCAAATTCCTTTTCTGCTACCTCTGTGTTGCTGGGTCTTTGTCAGTCTCATTAATGCAAATAAGGGCCTCTCACCTTCTGACAATCCATCCTACATGAAGACTGGCCAGTAGAACGATTTCGACTGATCAAGGGATGTAAAGGTCAGAGGGCTACCAAAAGATGAGAAAGTGATTTAGTCATTGGAGGAAACTGAGAGCAGCTGTAAAAAGCTTTGGGCTGACTCAGTCATTCTGTTGTAAAACAGCGAAAAAGAGAGAGAAAAAAGGTGATAGAGCACTGATGACACACACCCCAAAGCATCACCTGCACATTGATTTTCTGCAGCCTATTTTTTATCAGAATTACTCAAGTGAGTTCACCAGGACACTGGTGGACATTCCAGTCTCTGTGGGTTTAACTGCACAAGGCAGAGTCTTATATGCCATGTCATTGTTCTGGGGGATCTCTCTTTTGCAGGGACAAAAATAATTCATGAATAGAAAATGGCTGCAGATTGCTGGCCAGATGTTCAGGTAGAGGATCTTTTTGGTGTACAGCAGTATTGCAGGAATGCAGTGGGCACTGTAGATTAGCTTAGGAGAAAAAAAAAATATTGCCTGAAAATGTTACACTCCTTTCACATGTTCCTGGTTTTAGATACAGCAAGTGATGTTGATCTAGTTGCTAAATAATTTGTTCCATTCATCCATGCTTAGAAACATGCCATATATTTATAACCTCTAGTGGAAATAGAGGTGTCTCATTATGCTACTTATTTTTGTTTATGCAATATTATTAAGGTATTTTTACTTACAATATTCAAAAACCTGAACTCGTTCTTTTTTTTCAAGAAAGGTCCACAAAGCATTTTTATACTAAAAGAGATACATTGAAAGGAACATCTCTTTAAGTAAGTACAGCTAGTTTTCAAGCTCATTCATGATTAAAATGAAGGAGGATTGTTTCCTTCAATGCAAATTTTGAGATATTTATTTTCCCAGACCTGTGCATAGAAGGTGGTTAACTCCATTTTGATTTTGTAGGGCAAATATTGACTTGTTCACTTATTACTTAAAATGTGATGCATGTCTGACATTTCATTTCTGCTCTGGATTTTGTTATAAACTTAAACATAATTCTTTCCCATTTTTTCTCAAAAGATCTGTATTATTAGAGTTAACAGTAGACTTAGCATCATGGAGTTTAGGAAATATGTCCCTCTGAATTGTTCCTATTTCATGTACTCCTTTTAATTATTTTTATTTAGAGGGCACCATAAAATACTCTACAGAATATTTGACAACCTGACCTTTCTGCACTACATGAGGTATTTTTTATTTCTAATGGTCAATTGCATAAATTAACATCAAATCTTTTTATTCCGTATATAGATTTAAAAGTATATTAAAAGATCAACATAAATTTTATAATTTCATGTAATGTAATGGAATTATTGCTTTTAATTAAATGAAGTGTTTTCAGGACTGGATTGCCATCTATATTTTTAGTAATATCAAAGTCAAGTTACCGATGCATGAAAAAAAATCAAAACCTATGATATTTGGAAACCCAAACTGTTAGTAATTAGTAAATATTAGTTCCCTCAGCATTTTGGATAGGTCATTGACAATGGTAATTAGATTTCTTGCCCTCATAATTAGGATACATTTGAGCTTCCAAAATTTAAAAATTCTCCTTTGTCATAGCTGTGCTATATCCAGTAAATGTTAATCCCCTATTGTGATTTCAGAGGTGCTTTTCTTCTTAACCAGCTAAAGAAAATATAACCCTAAGCAATGAGCTGCGAGAGCTTTAAAACTGCAGACATTATCAGCAGATGAACTGTTACTTAGATAATGGGGTTAATGTTTTTTGCATATGTGACCCAAAATAACTGGATTCAGATGTGATATATATATATATATATATATATATATATATATATGGTGTACCCCATCAAATGAGCAGCTGATAGAACCTGTTAAGCAGAAAGTGTTACCTGAAGGAGCCAAAGGAATAGAAAGTACAGGCAGCCTGGACACTGCTGGAGAAAGGGCTGAAAATCACATGAAATGTCATGTTATCTGCCAGAGATAAGGTCCAAAAGCTGATCAGAGGCCACAAAGAGTCCTAATGGAAGTGGGTCTGCTGATGAGTTTTTATACTGAGAAAAAGAATGGTTATTTTGCTGGCATGCCTCGGGGATGGCTGTGCCAGGTGGAGGACTACGGTGAGTACATAATGTTAAGTGATATTTTAATGCCCATAGATGAAGACCAAGACGTGTAAGACAAAAATAATTTGGAATTTTTTGGAATGTTCTACCAGCAGAAGACATACAGATATTGTTCAAAAGAGGGACTCACTTGAGTGTACAGGTGCTGTGCTGGTGGAAGGATCAAGATGTAAACTAAGCCTGAAGATGAGTTATTTGAGACACAGAGATCAAGTTTTGAAAGGAAACGTGTTATATTTAGAGCTAAAATATTCTGAAGTTAAAAAAAAAACCAACCTGGTAGGACTGATGAAAATTAAACCTATAGTGTTTGAGTTTCTATAGAAGACTAGAAATATAGTATGAAAAACAATGGCTATTTTTATAAATAATGCATAATCACTCAGTGCTGCCCCTCTTTCACAGCTCACGTGTGATGGTTGCCTCTCTTCTGACCCCATTAATTTAAAGCAAACTCTGATCTGGGGAAAAATACGCAATGACACATCTACTTCCATGCAGCAAGCAATGTTTTGCTGTAATCTGCATTTCATTTCGCTATTTCTAGATCAAAATCCTGACACCAGTGCTCAGGTCCTTCTGATTTTCTCCCTGTTCACGCTTCATCTACAGATCACCACATCGCCTCCTTTGCATCACCCATCTCATTGTGCTGAAAGGCCCAGGGGTTATATTCTTGTGAGACCACTCACTTTTCCCCCAGATGATGTTAGTCACTATTTTCTCCCTTCCATTTTGCCTTTCTGTTTCTGCTCAGTAGGCCAATGTGTACTTCAAAACTCTGCCCCGGGTTTCTGCCCTAAACTCACCATTCAGGTGGCTTCACTTGTCCATCTCCTGGTTTTTTGCCTTCACCTCCTCTTATGCTGCACTAATTCTGGGACCACTCCACTCACACTAAAATTAGCAGTAGTTATTCTTTACTCTGCTATTATAAGGCTGTCTAGGGGGCACT